ACCGCGAGGACAACTCTGGGCGGGATGGCACGCTGGCGGTCGTTGTTTATTGACCATATGTAAGGGTGCAGCCCTGCATGTGCACGTTGACACCACTGTTTGCCGAAGGGCCTCCACTCGAGGGCCATTGGAACGACTCTTCCCACGTTTGTCCAGACGGCGTGAGAAGAGTTCAGAGTACCCACACTTTACTCCGCCACACACGACCTGCCGTCCGACTCTGATCGCGTGCAAGAGCGAGATCTGTACCGCCGCTTCGTGATCCTGTGAGAGATGGCAAGAGTTTGGGGGAATGATTCATCTAACAGTGGATCGATCATGGCATACGCTGCTGTTGCTGATGGTGATGTTAGGAAAACAGCACAGTGGGTGGCTATGAATTGTTGGGTGGACGGAGGCGGGGGGAGAGGGGCGGGGAGAGGGAGGGCGGAGGGGGGTTCTAATTTATGAAACTTGCCCCGATGTTTTCCAAGTGGCATCGTCTCCGGGTCCCGTGGAGTCGGGCGAGCTAAACATCACGCTGCGGCAGGAGCAGCAGCGCCACGCCATTAAGTATGCAGTTGCAAATCAGCTGCAATATTTACTGCAAATAAGATTACCGGGGGCCCTGACCCACCCAAGAACGAGTGCCATGAATCTGGCCTTACTTAGCCGCGACCGTAAAACCGTGCCAGCCGTTATGCGGCTAATTTGGTGCAGTAAACAAGTGGTGTCCATTCGGTTTGTAAATCTTCTGGACGGCGTGGCCGACCCCCAGTGCTGACCCTCTTACACTTCAGGGCTCGCTGCCGAGGCGCCGTTTGTTGATTTAATTAGTTGGGAGATGCAGAGGGGCCAGGCGGCTGCGAGGGGAGGGGGAGGTGCCCTTCTGGAGCGTGGTGGTGAATGTGCTCAGATGTTTTGCGAATGCTTCCGCCGTGTCCCCGCCCAATTCCTTCATCTGCGTGTTCTCTCTCTCTCAGCGCGCTACCTTGATCGCCCGAATGATGAACGGCCGATATTGGAACTTAGGCTCCGTGTGAAGTCGTCGAAAATGAGGAGGAGGGGAACATGCAGGGCGAAAAATTTAATCCGCGCGAATATTTGATTCAGTTAACATTCGAAGACAAAACTCCAGGCCATGCTGCGTTGTGAATACGTAAAATGAACGCGTCTAGTTGTTATTATTATTGTTGTCATCGCAGATAAATAAACTCAACATGTTGCACTCTGAACAACGTGCTCGTGTTACAGATTACCTACGCAGATTTAACAACGCAAAAATATGCACCGGCATACAGTACATTGTGTCCTAATCAGCAAGCGACCTGCGTGCGCTCACGGCATTGCGTGTTGCTCTAAACGGCGTGCGTGCCGCGGTCACTCCGCGTCCCTTGCTCGTGTGGGTGGCCTCGCATCGCTCCGCGGAGATCCCCGCACGAGGCCGTGGGCTGTGCCCGTCCCTGCTTAGCTCACCGACGGAAGCAATACACCGTGTGGGCCTTGGCCTGCGAGTCTCGATGTAACGCTGTCGTTCTCTGTGTTATTACATGCGTATTTGTGTTGTTATATGCGTCTCTTTGTAACTCTATGAATCTACGTGTGACTCTATGAATCTACGTGTAACTCTATGAATCTCCGTGTAACTCTATGAATCTACGTGTGACTCTATGAATCTACGTGTAACTCTATGAATCTACGTGTAACTATATCAATCTACGTGTAACTCTATGAATCTACGTGTAACTCTATGCATCTACGTGTAACTCTATGAATCTACGTGTGACTCTGTGAATCTACGTGCAACTCTATGAATCTACGTACAACTCTATTAATCTACGTGTAACTCTATGAATCTACGTGCAACTCTATGAATCTACGTGTAACTCTATGAATCTACGTGTAACTCTATGAATCTACGAGTAACTCTATGAATTTTCGTGTAACTCTATGAATCTACGTGTAACTCTATGAATCTACGTGTGACTCTATGAATCAATGTGTGACTCTATGAATCTACGTGTAACTCTATGAATCTCCGTGTAACTCTATGAATCTACGTGTGACTCTATGAATCTACGTGTAACTCTATGAATCTACGTGTAACTATATCAATCTACGTGTAACTCTATGAATCTACGCGTAACTCTATGAATCTACGTGTAACTCTATGCATCTACGTGTAACTCTATGAATCTACGTGTGACTCTGTGAATCTACGTGCAACTCTATGAATCTACGTACAACTCTGTGAATCTACGTGTAACTCTATGAATCTACGTGTAACTCTATGAATATACGTATAACTCTATGAATCTACGTGTAACTCTATGAATCTACGTGTAACTCTATGAATCTACGTGTAACTCTATGAATCTACGTGTAACTCTATGAATTTTCGTGTAACTCTATGAATCTACGTGTAACTCTATGAATCTACGTGTAACTCTATGAATCTACGTGTAACTCTATGAATCTACGTGTAACTCTATGAATCTACGTGTAACTCTATGAATCTATGTGTGACTCTATGAATATACGTATAACTCTATGAATCTACGTGTAACTCTATGAATCTACGTGTAACTCTATGAATCTACGTGTAACTCTATGAATCTACGTGTAACTCTATGAATCTACGTGTGACTCTATGAATCTACGTGTAACTCTATGAATCTACGTGTAACTCTATGAATCTACGTGTAACTCTATGAATCTACGTGTGACTCTATGAATCTACGTGTAACTCTATGAATCTACGTGTAACTCTATGAATCTACGTGTAACTCTATGAATCTACGTGTGACTCTATGAATCTATGTGTGACTCTATGAATATACGTATAACTCTATGAATCTACGTGTAACTCTATGAATCTACGTGTAACTCTATGAATCTACGTGTAACTCTATGAATCTACGTGTGACTCTATGAATCTACGTGTAACTCTATGAATCTACGTGTAACTCTATGAATCTACGTGTAACTCTATGAATCTACGTGTAACTCTATGAATCTACGTGTGACTCTATGAATCTACGTGTAACTCTATGAATCTCCGTGTAACTCTATGAATCTACGTGTGACTCTATGAATCTACGTGTAACTCTATGAATCTACGTGTAACTATATCAATCTACGTGTAACTCTATGAATCTACGCGTAACTCTATGAATCTACGTGTAACTCTATGCATCTACGTGTAACTCTATGAATCTACGTGTGACTCTGTGAATCTACGTGCAACTCTATGAATCTACGTACAACTCTGTGAATCTACGTGTAACTCTATGAATCTACGTGTAACTCTATGAATATACGTATAACTCTATGAATCTACGTGTAACTCTATGAATCTACGTGTAACTCTATGAATCTACGTGTAACTCTATGAATCTACGTGTAACTCTATGAATTTTCGTGTAACTCTATGAATCTACGTGTAACTCTATGAATCTACGTGTAACTCTATGAATCTACGTGTAACTCTATGAATCTACGTGTAACTCTATGAATCTACGTGTAACTCTATGAATCTATGTGTGACTCTATGAATATACGTATAACTCTATGAATCTACGTGTAACTCTATGAATCTACGTGTAACTCTATGAATCTACGTGTAACTCTATGAATCTACGTGTAACTCTATGAATCTACGTGTGACTCTATGAATCTACGTGTAACTCTATGAATCTACGTGTAACTCTATGAATCTACGTGTAACTCTATGAATCTACGTGTGACTCTATGAATCTACGTGTAACTCTATGAATCTACGTGTAACTCTATGAATCTACGTGTAACTCTATGAATCTACGTGTGACTCTATGAATCTATGTGTGACTCTATGAATATACGTATAACTCTATGAATCTACGTGTAACTCTATGAATCTACGTGTAACTCTATGAATCTACGTGTAACTCTATGAATCTACGTGTAACTCTATGAATCTACGTGTGACTCTATGAATCTACGTGTAACTCTATGAATCTACGTGTAACTCTATGAATCTACGTGTAACTCTATGAATCTACGTGTGACTCTATGAATCTACGTGTAACTCTATGAATCTACGTGTAACTCTATGAATCTACGTGTAACTCTATGAATCTACGTGTAACTCTATGAATCTACGTGTGACTCTATGAATCTACGTGTAACTCTATGAATCTACGTGTGACTCTATGAATCTACGTATGACTCTAAGAATCTACGTGTAACTCTATGAATCCACGTGTAACTCTATGAATCTACGTGTGACTCTATGAATCTACGTGTAACTATGAATTTACGTGTAACTCTATGAATCTACGTGCGACTCTATGAATCTACGTGTGACTCTATGAATCTACGTGTAACTCTATGAATCTACGTGTGACTCTACGAATCTACGTGTGACTCTATGAATCTACGTGTAACTCTATGAATCTAGGTGTGACTCTATGAATCTACGTGTAACTCTATGAATCTACGTGTAACTCGATGTAACTGCAATGTGCCGCTGGGGATGGATCGTGGCCTGGCGCTCGTGGTGGCGTCGCTGCGTCTCGACCACCCCGCGCGCACGCCACGGCCCCTACAACCGACGGCTCAACCAGTCGCAATTGGGCACGGACTCCGCCACGATCTGCTTTAGTCGTTTAAAGTTCTTTGCGCGTGCTCGCTCTTTCTCTTTACACCTTTCAACGAAGCGTAATTGCGTCAGCTGCTCTGTGCGTTCGTTCGTTACGGGGTTGGGGGGGGGGGGGGGAGGCACGTTGACTCTCGTAACGATGGTCCCACACGGACCAAAAACCCTTCCCCGTGAGGTTTTGTCGCAGTTAGAGACTGAATCTATTGGAAGACGGCTGACTGTGGTGGGAGGGTTGCCCCCCAAAAACCCTTGAGATAAACACGTGCACTCAAAAGGTCAAACGCATGTTTGGAAAGCGTCAAAGATTCCATGCATATGCACGATATTCCCCCTTTCCTTGTTTAAATGCTATTTGCCCTCTTTGTCCTCGTTTTGACCCCAGGAGCGAACTCAAAGAAAAATGCCGATGATTTAGCAGCTATTGATGGTGACGAAGATGAAGGTATTTTTTGGTGCTGGGAGAGCATGATGCATGAAAACACAAGAGAGAGAGAGAGAAAAAAACAGAAAAAAAATATATTTAAAAACATATGTTTTGCTATATATATTTTTTAAAACTAAATTGATGGTGTACTCTTTTCGTGCGCCAATCATTGCCCACAAACTTTCGAGCGTCCCATGTCAGCAAAGTGGCCGACAAATAAAACGGCGCAAAATTCAACAAATCGGCAGTTGAAGACAAAATTACCAAAATCTTTTCTTTTTCCGATCTTTTCTTTTTTTTATAAAGGGATACTGTATAACAATACAAATTTCACCATGTATATTAACAAACCATTCGGAATCTTTTCAGTATATTATCCGGCGAGCATCAACTACACGCTTCTTGTCTAATCTAGTACACATTTGCAATATGAACTTTAAACCTATACAGTATCTCTTGTGCCTATACTCCAGTGGCCTGGCATCGCTGCTATTGTTTGCATGTGATTAAACAAGATCACCCCGCCACCCCCGCCCGCCATCCGATCCCATGCAACTGAAAACAAAAATCTCATCGTTTGTTCCCTAAGCTCATTGCCATGACTCTGTTAATTCGACGTGAAACCCCGTGTGACCACGATGTGAATCCCCCCCCCGTGTGACCACGATGTGAATCCCCCCCCCGTGTGACCACGTTGTGAATCCCCCCCCCCGTGTGACCACGATGTGAATCCCCCCCCCCGTGTGACCACGATGTGAATCCCCCCCCCGTGTGACCACGATGTGAATCCCCCCCCCCCCGTGTGACCACGATGTGAATCCCCCCCCGTGTGATCACGATGTGAATCCCCCCCCCCGTGTGACCACGATGTGAATCCCCCCCCCGTGTGACCACGATGTGAATCCCCCCCCCCGTGTGACCACGATGTGAATCCCCCCCCCCCGTGTGACCACGATGTGAATCCCCCCCCCCGTGTGACCACGATGTGAATCCCCCCCCCCCCCCGTGTGACCACGATGTGAATCCCCCCCCCCGTGTGATCACGATGTGAATCCCCCCCCCCCGTGTGACCACGATGTGAATCCCCCCCCCGTGTGACCACGATGTGAATCCCCCCCCGTGTGACCACGATGTGAATCCCCCCCCCCGTGTGATCACGATGTGAATCCCCCCCCCGTGTGACCACGATGTGAATCCCCCCCCCCGTGTGACCACGATGTGAATCCCCCCCCCCGTGTGACAACGATGTGAATCCCCCCCCCGTGTGACCACGATGTGAATCCCCCCCCCCGTGTGACCACGATGTGAATCCCCCCCCCCGTGTGACCACGATGTGAATCCCCCCCCCCGTGTGGACCACGATGTGAATCCCCCCCCCCCCCCCCCCGTGTGACCACGATGTGAATCCCCCCCCCGTGTGACCACGATGTGAATCCACCCCCCCCCGTGTGACCACGATGTGAATCCCCCCCCCCCGTGTGACCACGATGTGAATCCCCCCCCCGTGTGACCACGATGTGAATCCCCCCCCCGTGTGACCACGATGTGAATCCCCCCCCCGTGTGACCACGATGTGAATCCCCCCCCCCCGTGTGACCACGATGTGAATCCCCCCCCCGTGTGATCACGATGTGAATCCCCCCCCCGTGTGACCACGATGTGAATCCCCCCCCGGGTGACCACGATGTGAATCCCCCCCCCCGTGTGACCACGATGTGAATCCCCCCCCCCCGTGTGACCACGATGTGAATCCCCCCCCCGTGTGATCACGATGTGAATCCCCCCCCCGTGTGACCACGATGTGAATCCCCCCCCCCCGTGTGACCACGTTGTGAATCCCCTCCCCGTGTGATCACGATGTGAATCCCCCCCCCCGTGTGATCACGATGTGAATCCCCCCCCCGTGTGATCACGATGTGAATCCCCCCCCGTGTGACCACGATGTGAATCCCCCCCCCGTGTGACCACGATGTGAATCCCCCCCCCGTGTGACCACGATGTGAATCCCCACCCCCCCCCCCCGTGTGACCACGATGTGAATCCCCCCCCCCGTGTGACCACGATGTGAATCCCCCCCCCCCGTGTGACCACGATGTGAATCCCCCCCCCCGTGTGATCACGATGTGAATCCCCCCCCCGTGTGATCACGATGTGAATCCCCCCCCCCCGTGTGACCACGATGTGAATCCCCCCCCCGTGTGACCACGATGTGAATCCCCCCCCGTGTGATCACGATGTGAATCCCCCCCCCCGTGTGATCACGATGTGAATCCCCCCCCCGTGTGACCACGATGTGAATCCCCCCCATGTGATCACGATGTGAATCCCCCCCCCGTGTGATCACGATGTGAATCCCCCCCCCCGTGTGATCACGATGTGAATCCCCCCCCCGTGTGATCACGATGTGAATCCCCCCCCCGTGTGATCACGATGTGAATCCCCCCCCCGTGTGACCACGATGTGAATCCCCCCCATGTGATCACGATGTGAATCCCCCCCCCGTGTGATCACGATGTGAATCCCCCCCCCCGTGTGATCACGATGTGAATCCCCCCCCCGTGTGATCACGATGTGAATCCCCGTGTGACCATGAGTGGCGGAACGCAAATCCGGCGTGCGGACCTTGTGCGCTCGCGCGCGTGTGAAACGTGTGTGCGTGTGTGTGTGTGCGTGTGCGTGCGTGTGTGCGCGCGTGCGTGTGTGCGTGCGTGCGCGTGTGTGTGCGCCTGGCGTTTCATCGTGTGTCGTGTGTCTTGTCGTCCGCGCGCGTCTCCTCTCCATAACCGTGCGAATTCTTCGCGTGTCCGGTGCGAATCGCCGCACGAGAACGTGCCCGTGAGCGTTGCCCGAGTGCGCGCGTGCCGTGTTCGATGGTCGTTTTCGCGGCGTGCTTTTTTATTGTTTTCCGCGCCGTTCGAAATGATCGCCTTGCTGCATTTTTGCTTCTTCCCTGCCCCCCCCCCCCTTTCTCCCCGCTTTGCCCGCGACAGACGTCCGCAACTCGGGGCCCAAAGCGGTGCTGGTCTACGTGCACGGCGGCTCCTACATGGAGGGCACTGGAAACCTGCTGGATGGCAGCGTGCTGGCCAGCTACGGGAACGTTATCGTCATCACCGTCAACTATCGCCTCGGCGTTCTAGGTCAGTGCCATACGGTCGGCAGCCGGCAGCGGTGGAGCGGGGTGGGGGGATGATGCGCGCGTGCGTCGCGTTTTTTGTGTTGACCCGTAACACCTCGGTGTTCCCCGTCATCTCCTGCCGGAGAGACTTCGCCACTTCACGTGACCTCAAGGTGTACCTAGCCTGGCACAAGCGCCGCGCTGATATCAACGTCAATGAATGGTGAATGGGTGGTTGCCATCGTTGTTTGTGATGTGTGTGTGTGATGTGCGTGTGTTGGGAAAAGTGCTGTTCGCGAGCACCCTTCCACACTCCTCTATCGCACCCCATAGCATCACACTCTTTGTGGCGTGGCAGAGTAGTGTCCAGCTCGCAGCGCTGTGGACACGATAACTCCGAGTTCAATTCCTGCTCACTGCCAAAATCAGCGGCGAATATCTGAATCCGGTGCCGAGCCACCGTTTGGTCGACTGAAGTCTTAAGCGGGTATCTGGTTTCACAAATATCGTCACTGGGGAGACAAAGGTTGTCTCTGTGGATACTGGCCACACCACCCCGCTGGGCGCCGTGTCAGCCTGCATAGGCGCTCGTTAACATCATCCGCCCCAACCAGCGTTGTTGCAGGCCACACGCAGAGGAATCGCTGTGCCGGAGACGGGCAGCTTGGAGGCTTGGTCCCAAATACCGCGGGCCGCGGTAGCGCCGTCGGCAGTGACGCGCCGCGTGGCACGCTGCCAACTCCGAAACATTGCCAGGGAGGGCTGCGGAGTGGCGTTGTAAAGCGACTGCAGAGGACCTCGCAGTGAATTGCAGAGCACGGACGTCAACATTGACAGCATTATGCACACGCGTGCACTTCTGTTTCGAGTGCCCTATTGCGAAGGATGCACAAAAGGTCGTCTCTATTTACAGCAAACCACTCGTAACGTCATGTTGAAGCAGACAAAAAAACACGCGTGCGTCAATCACAGAGCTCAAACCGTGGTGTTGTGGTTGGTGGCTGGTAGACAATAACTACATCTCTCCCGATATCGGTGATGCGAGTGAATCTACCAGAGGCAAACCTCTGCCTTTGGTGATGCCGTGAATACTCAGGCACCCATTATGCTGTTGTTGGTGCCTTTGGTCTACGGCTGGTTTCATTATCTTTAGTGGTTGTACTGAAGCGATACCATTGTTGGCCGGGAGGGTCCCGGTGGTTTCAGAAAGGCTGTCCCCGTGTTCTGAAGCATTTGCATAAAGTTGGGATTTTGTCCCAGTTTGTCCCAAGATTTTCTGGCCTCATACGGGCAAAAGGCTACCTGGGCAGTGGGTGGGGCTACCTGGGCAGTGGGTGGAGCTAGCAAGGCAGTGGGTGGGGATAGCTTGGCAGTGGGTGGAGCTACCCGGGCAGTGGGTGCAGCTACCTGCGTAGTAGGTGGAGTTACCTGGGCAGTGGGTGGAGCTACCTGGGCAGTGGGTGGAGCTACCTGCGTAGTAGGCGGAGCTATCTGGACAGTGGATGGAGCTACCTGAATAATGGGTGGGCTTATGAGCAGTGGCTGGGGCCACTGTGAGAACGAGCCAGTAAGGAGACTGCTCAGTACCCGTAATGCCACTCGCATCTCAGTACCTGTGATACCACTCACATCTCAGTACCTGTGATGCCACTCGCATCTCAGTACCTGTGATGTCACTCACATCTCAGTACCTGTGATGCCACTCACACCTCAGTACCTGTGATGCCACTCACATCTCAGTACCTGTGATACCACTCAGATCTCAGTACCTGTGATACCACTCAGATCTCAGTACCTGTGATACCACTCACACCTCAGTACCTGTGATACCACTCACACCTCAGTACCTGTGATGCCACTCACATCTCAGTACCTGTGATACCACTCACATCTCAGTACCTGTGATACCACTCACACCTCAGTACCTGTGATACCACTCACACCTCAGTACCTGTGATGCCACTCACATCTCAGTACCTGTGATACCACTCACATCTCAGTACCTGTGATACCACTCACATCTCAGTACCTGTGATACCACTCAGATCTCAGTACCTGTGATACCACTCACATCTCAGTACCTGTGATACCACTCACATCTCAGTACCTGTGATGCCACTCACATCTCAGTACACAAAGTCTATTAAGTGAAAAATCTCTATTGCGTCTTTTTGCCGCGCCCTTTTTGGCACGACCGTCAGTGCCTGAAGAGGCTCTCAGCACGTGGAGCGAAACGTCGGACATCATGCCGAAGAACACGCCGACTACACATCGCAGAGTTTATTCATTAATTCTATTTATTCCAGCAGCTCATTTCCTTCCGGAATTGTGTTCTGCATACGCTGCTTGACAACATGAGGCTGGGAGGCACCGTGGGCTGATGAACTACGATATATACAGACAGATATTTTCATGTATATATTTGCGTACACAGTATATTTCATTCTGGGCCAAATGAAATTCCATTTCTTTTATTGTATAAAGATGAAAAAGCATCGCTACGCTTGCTGAAGTATCTAGATAGACACCATAAATACTCTTGACCCAAACGTGCACTAAATCAGAAGAACAGCACGCAGAATAAACCAACACAACAATTTATACAAAGCCATCACTCCCTTGGTGCCACATGTGACCCACTTCCTCGGTGAGTCACGACACCAAAACTCCCAGCGCTGACAGATTACCACCGCGTCCACCCCCTTGCTGCCTGCCTCCATCTGCTGCTTCTTCTGCGTACGGCTGTTGTTGATGTAGAACAACAGTGGTAACTTTACATCGAGGTGGTTGACGGGGCAGATGATTGCGGAGTCAGGAGTAGCGGAGTGGTGTGCCGTCGCCGCTGTGATGATGCCTCCTCCGTGTTCGTGAATCGGGCATCGGGTCCACGTTGTTAGGTGGTTCTCTTCGGGGTGGTGACCACAGTCGCACATTTCCGGGGTTTATAATTTTCCATCGGTGCGTCGGCATCTGCTGCTACTGCTGTCATGGTTGGTGCAGTCGATGCGGTTCGGGGGTTGAGGTCCATGAGTTTCGGGGTGGAGATTGAAGCCAGGGGATCACCTGCGTCACCGGGACCCTCACGAGGAGGAGTTGGTTGTTTGTGACTCCTTGTGCACTCCATTCGGCTTGCCAAGAGTCGCCATCATCATCATCATCGGGTTGAGGTTGCATTGACAAGGGCTAAGCACGTGGGTCCACAACGACGTCGTGGGGCGTCGAGCGGTGGCGGTGAGGGACATTGTTGAGATCTCCTCTCCGAGTTGTTGTTATTGTTGTCGTCGCACGAGAGCGGTATGACGAATTGGGGGTGACCGCCCCAGGCCCAGCGTTCTTGTGGGGCCCCGTGCTTCGAAATCACGCTGTCAGACGGAATAGTTGCGGTTTAGTTTGAAGGCGTCCAGGGTCACATAGGCGGAGCCGAAGGGCCTCACCGCGGTGACGTCACCGTGCACGCTGCCTGCTCGCCTTCATTGGAGACGTCCACTGGACCCATTTGGTGTTTACGACTGCAGCCCCGGCCACGATAAATCACCGAGGCCCTCCGAGGTTTCGAAGGGTGAAGTCCATTCAGCGTTTCTGTCTCTTCTCCCTTCGCCCAGCAGCCACACACCCGCCTAACCACCAGGCCACCCAGTCACCAATAAACACCTACCTACCCACTCACCCATACCCACCAATACCCACCCACCCACTCATCCATACCCACCAATAACCACCCACCTACCCACTCACCCATACCCGCCTATACCCACCCACCCACCCACTCAACCATACCCTCCTATACCCACCCACCCACTCACCCATACCCACCAATAACTACCCACCTACCCACTCACTCATACCCTCCTATACCGACCCTGCCACCCACTCAGCCATACCCACCAATACCCACCCACCCACTCACTCACCCATACCCACCAATAACCACCCACCCACTCACCCATACCCCCCTATACCCACCCAGCCACCCACTCACCCATACCCACCAATAACCACCCACCCACTCACCCATACCCTCCTATACCCACCCAGCCACCCACTCACCCATACCCACCAATACCCACCCACCCACCCACTCACCCATACCCTCCTATACCCACCCAGCCACCCACTCACCCATACCCACCAATACCCACCCACTCACCCATACCCACCAATACCCACCCACCTACCCACTCACCCATACCCTCATATACCCACCCAGCCACCCACTCACCCATACCCACCAATACCCACCCACCCACTCACCCATACCCACCAATACCCACCCACCTATCTACTCACCCATACCCACCAATACCCACCCAGCCACCCACTCACCAATACCCACCAATACCCACCCAGCCACCCACTCACCCATACCCACCAATACCCACCCACTCACCCATACCCACCAATACCCACCCACCTACCCACTCACCCATACCCACCAATACCCACCCAGCCACCCACTCACCAATACCCACCAATACCCACCCAGCCACCCACTCACCCATACCCACCAATACCCACCCACTCACCCATACCCACCAATACCCACCCACCTACCCACTCACCCATACCCACCAATACCCACCCAGCCACCCACTCACCAATACCCACCAATACCCACCGACCCACTCACCCATACCCACCATTACCCACCCAGCCACCCACTCACCAATACCCACCAATGCCCACCCACCCATTCACCCATACCCACCAATACCCACCCAGCCACCCACTCACCAATACCCACCAATACCCACCCAGCCACCCACTCACCAATACCCACCAATACCCACCCAGCCACCCACTCACCAATACCCACCAATACCCACCCACCCACTCACCCATACCCACCAATACCCACCCAGCCACCCACTCACCAATACCCACCAATACCCACCCAGCCACGCACTCACCAATACCCACCAATACCCACCCACCCACTCACCCATACCCACCAATACCCACCCAGCCACCCACTAACCAATACCCACCAATACTCACCCACCTACCGATTCACCCATACCCACC